AAATTTAATAAAAATAAACCAGTCGACATTGGAGTCATTAAAAAGTGCATCTTGACAGCAGGTGATTTATTTTTAGGATTCGATCAAGTCAATAAATAGATTGTGTTCAAAAGAAAGGTTAAACTCAAGACGCTAATAATAAAATACGTTAAAATTTAAGAACGAAAATCAACCAAACATGAATTAAAACATTTCTATTAATTTATTAAAGGTACTTCGCCCAGCGGGGCTCATACCGAACCATGGACGTTTTGTGTAATTCAAGATGCACAAATTAAGCGCAAAATTCGTGAAATTATCGAAACCGAAGAATACTTGAACTACAAACAACGTATGTCAAGACAATGGACAGCTGATTTACGGCCTCTCAAAACCGACTTTATAAAGGAATATCTAACTGATGCACCATTCATAATATGCGTATTCAAACAAGTTTATGGTAAACACACATCACGTTCATATCTTTTTCATTAAGCATACAATCTATTTGTATCTATTAGGAATTCGTTCAGATGCAACGAAACAACGACATTATTACAATGAAATCTCCGTATCGATTGCAACTGGCATATTGTTATGTGCACTAAATGCCGCCGGATTGAATTCATTGGTGAGGAAAATTGCTCATCTCCACGAAGAAAATATTCATATCATATTCCATGTTAAATTCTCTAGGTGACTACACCACTGAATTGCGGTCCAGCCATTAAAAACTTACTGAATCGTCCTCAAAATGAAAAGCTACTTGTTCTCTTACCAGTCGGTTATTCTTCTGATGATTGTCTTGTGCCAGACCTTCAACGAAAACCACTCGATCAGATTATGATCACATACTAAATTGATACAACAAAATTATTCGAACGATAAAAAAGAGTTAGAGAGAGAGAGAATCGGAAAGTATCTGTCTCGTATAAAAGGCACAAACATTTAATTTTAAAAAACACCCAAATATTGCCTTATAAATGATTAGGTGTACGTAAAAGCGTTTTCATTTTTCTGTTTAGTTTTTTATTATCATTATTAAAATGTTCGAAAAAAATGCCAAACATATTACGGTAAAATATATTTTTCATTCTCTATAGATATGTATATTTTCATTTCGTCTAAAAAATGGAGTGAAAAAAGTATAACTTGATCGAATGGTTTACATGCACGAGATATATATGTGTTTATTAGGGCGGGTCAATTTTTTAAGAGGTCTGGCTTAACGAAATTCGTAAAATACATGTAATTTCAAGACTT